GAGCTTTATGATATTTTCTGATAGCCTTATTTTCCATTTTAACATAAATCTGTTAAATTGTTCATCTCTTATTAAAGGGCGGTGGTCGTAGCGCCGCGTCCTGTTCGATTTGGGACTCAACGCGTGTAAAACATTGTTTATTTACAACACTACTTTCTACATGGTATTATTATGACCGTAAATAATTCACTTCACCAGGAGAACATGCAAAAATAATGGAAACAGCACAATTTGACTAAAATTACCACAATTTTTTGTATTCACTACATAACTTGTATTACTATCACTGGACCACTGAAGGATAATATTATCTCCCTTGTTGCTGTGATCACTCGGGAATAATATTATCCCTTCATTTCTCGTGACCTTGATGACCAATACCTCGGGAAGATGAAGATGAGATAATATTATCTCCCTAGTTGTCGACAATACATGGGACCAGAGAGATAATATTTTTTCTACGGTGATGCAAATAACACCCAGTTTTGTAAAAGTCCATAGTTGAGTTGTATTATATATTTTATGCGTTTTAATTTTGACAGATCAATCTACGAAAATCGCTCAGCATAAGAGAGAAAACACAACCAAACTGAAGCAAGTGTCGGCATAGGCTGTTAGTGCTATGGTGACCAAAGATGTTTCAACAGGTTGCTGTATTATAATAAAACTTAAACGTACAAAATGTAACCGAGTACCGTGTATATGTGTCTACTAGTATACTGAACATGGTTTTCCATTACCTTATAAATATACCTATAAACAATCCCATTGAACAACTTGTAAACCAAATAATATCCCTGCCCTTATTCCTGAGTGGTCCCAACAACAAGAGAGATAATAGCATCCCTGAGTGGTCCCAACAACAGGGGAGATAATATTATCTCCGAGTGGTCCCAACAACAAAGATACTGCAATACGTAGTTGTGTGGTGATTTTCAAAATTTTCGTAATTTTGGGTTAAATTGCGCTATTTTGATTATTATTGCATTATCTGCCGGTGAAGTGAAATATTCGTGGTCATAATAATTCCATTTGGCTAGAAAGCACTGTTTTACATGAAATTCGAAGCACTGTTTTACGACCACCGCCTTTAAGACAGATGTATGAAATAGTTCCTTTGTTTTCCGATGTTTCCGAATATAAAACAAACCCAGTCAAGTATGATGATAGTATAATTCCATATCCTACTTTATGGTGAAGTGTGTGCATGATCATATATAAAAATGATTTTGGCGAATTTCGAGAATTCGAGGACATCCCTTGCTGAAACTATAATTTAAAGCCTATCAAAGGTACAGCTTCTATTGTAATGTATTAAAAAGATGTGTCGTCAAAATAATGGTGTGTAGGGCGACGACCACACTAACTTCTTGCATTTAGAGTAATCAACGTCAATCATGTTTATAATAATCACCGGCTATTTTGTATTCGAGCACAGTGATTAAATTAAATAATTACAAAGGGTGTCACTATCCAATTGTCGAACTGCTATGATTTCTATTGTGTAAGATTAAGAAAGGTGGGCGAAATGTCAAATACGTCGCCAGCCTCTCTCTGGTGGCCTCTCACTCATTATTTTATAGACCATTTCCCAGAATTATGTGCGTTGTGCGTCATGTTTCTATACTTCCCATCTACTCGACCCTTAGCTTTCACATCGCATTTTATGTTACTTTAGTCTTGTTTTCTTTTTTTAAAGATGAGATTATATTTGTAAGGCGTTAATCGTCGCGCCACGCCACGCATGCGCGAGATATATGGTTTCATATAAACAAATATGGCGACTTTGACTTTTCGCAGATCAATGAGTACAAACTGAGACGTACTAAGCTTTAATCAGGTATTTTCAAGTGATTGGAAGGTATCGAAGGAGTCACCGGTGGTAATTAGGACAAGTTGCATCCAGGTCAAACAGCATACTTGTGATTTCAATTAGACGAGCGCATTGGATTGTGGGAAAATCAATGTTTATCAACACAAATGTCGCACATGCGCAGCGCGACGACCACCGCCCTTTAAACAAACAAAAAATGTCCCAAATCATAGCTATTGCCGCTTTAACAAGTTTCATTGCTTTCGGTATACACAGATTGTTCGGCTTTCCACGCTTGTACAATTTATATGAAATATATTCCTTCAAGTGCAAATCCACATTCTGCTTCAATTCATCAGGTTTATGGTTCATGTAGTTAATATCGATGGTGTGTGTTCCAACACTGGTAACATTGGGGCTGCAGTGGGAGGTATTGCCATTTCGGGGGGTCTGTTGAACATTTCAGAGTGAAAATCAATTAATCATACCATAGACAAAAGTCGTATGGGTAATTTACAAATCCAAGAACAAGTCTACACGATTCAGAGCATACTTTGATTCGAGTTAAGTGTTCGACTAAACAAATCACGTCAATAATTTTGAGTGCCAAATTTATTCCTCCAAGTTCTGAATTGTATTTTTATAACAATAATATATATGTTAAAGAAAGAATGATCCTCCCAAAAAAGATAACCAGTCCAAACGGATGGAAACTAAAGAAGAAATCCCTGTCTTGAAGCAAGAGTTTACTGAAATGAAAGAAGATCAAACAGTAGCAACCGTACTACTTCACGAACTCACGAATAGATACACACATCCAGTGTAGTGATCAACTAACTTCAACTTTAATTAGATTTAAAGATGACAAACAATTATTACAAGATACTATCTGTCATAAAGGTCTGCTTATTGCAATGGAGAGGGCCACCCACAGAACTCACACTGGACATGAGGTTCTTTCACTGCTAAAATGGGGTAGACAAGACAATAGTACTGAAATGAAATACACATACACCAAAATATCGAGTTAAAGCTTCTGGCTTTAATACCTGTCAAAATAATGACAAGAAACAAAGCACAAAAAAATACAATGAATAAAGTCACTAAAATAGGGGATTGCTTAAGGAAGTGTGTATTGGCGATAACTCGCAGCTCCAGGATGCAGAATGGCAGTTACACAGGTACACCACCTGGGTTTCCACATGAGCCAATCAGAATGTCATCTTGCTAGCAGCTGTGTCACATAGGCAACTCAGTAGATCATAAACACCTTTTGTTTTCAAATAACAGCACAACTGGTAGATTCCAATTGTCTTTCCTGTGTAAATCACAAGCACACCTGGTAGATTCCCACTGTCCTTCCAGAGTTGAAAACAAGTATGATATGTCAATCACCTTTATGACAGCTATCACACAGCAATGTACACCGTTTTTTCCCATGATTCCATGCACACTTCTATTTGCAGGGTTTGAGGTAATATGACAAAAACATAGAATAAAGAATGCTGACATTATCCAGGAACAGAAAGGGGATGAGATAGGATTGGAATCAGCTTTACAAGAACTAGAAAGGAAAGTAATGGGAACGTCAACATATACCACATGTCTGGGAATGTTAAGATCTTATGCAATGAGACAAATACTGATGATCACATTAAATTAGTACATGTATATAAGAAGTCATACAATACTAGGAGTGATTATCAGAATGAATTAATAAAATGGTGGAAACTAAACACCTTGAAAATGAAGCATTGGTGAATTTGTGATACAGTGGATCAACACCAATGTCAACACAACACAATAACAACAACAGACAAGAAAACAACTGGAGCGATAAAAAACATCAAATATAGAAATAAGGAATTATTACACACATGATTGAAGGAGCCTAACTTCTCTGAGTGATTAGTAAAACAGAGATAGAATGACTGCTAATTGAGTGAACAAATCGTGTTTTACTACTTAAAGATTCAACTGGAAGACAGCTCATCAAGTGACCACAAATTATTTAACACGCTCAGAGTTACCAAGAACTAGTTTTGATTATACCAGAGAAAGTATTACAAATCGAAGGGAGAGGAAAGATGTACAGGATTAATATAGGAACCAAGAGCATCATCAGAAATTATCTCTCTCAATGCTAGGATAAATAGAAGACTTTGTTACAGCACTGCCAATCAACAACAATTGTTGAATGTGGCATCTCCTATGAAGCTCTCAAATAATAAACACGAGAAACACATCTACAAGTGAGAATCTGCACTCCAATCATGGCACAGTAGTACTATTCTAAAGCATGCAATTAAGTATCCCAGCTAATGAATATACCTCACAAAAGAACACTACAACAAGAAAGAAACATCCAAAGAGTTGCAGCATCACCCAGACCAAAGCACTACACAATCTGCTGGAAATAAACAACAGTTCCAATAATACAACAGAAGATATTACAGTAACCTAACACATATATGACAAACTGTTACACCTGCATGTGCAACATATATAAATTTGGTTGTTCAGGATTACTTCAAAGTTGAGTTTGTGCTGTTTTCCCAGCTTAGACAGGCATTCCACAGCACCTAGCACAGGGCCCATAGAAATACAAGGTACAGCGGTGCGCGTCTTAGAAACAAGGAACGTCTTGTGACGTAGCTCCGCCCGAAGACACAAGACTTGGTGCATGGAATGATGCAGAATTAAACAAAAATGAAGATAGAGTTTTCATATACTTTATGTAGCAATGACATTGTTTTTTTTGGTAGCAACTTGGCTGAGGCCAACTGATTGTGTTCAATTTTCAAGACAATGAGTGTAAACTTTAGATTCAGGTGGAATTTCAATAATGATAAAACCTAATCTAATGACAGCTTTGGTATAATAAAAAAATTATATTGTGAAACTATGGTTATATTCAACTTACCATTCACCACCACTGTTTATCGGCAATATGCCTAAATGACCGTTTCACGCTCAAGTCCTGTAATTGTAATTTTCATAAACTGTCACGGATCACAACAAAATCATGGGTCTTAAATTTTGGTACAGACAAGTGTTGCATATAATTCTTCTTGGCCTGAGGCTGAGCTCTTATCTCAACACCATGTATAACTTTGAGTATTTCCAGTCTGCTAGGCTGATCACTTGCACTTTCTTGGACAGCAGTCAGGGAATCTGCTAAACTCACCATCAGCCACTTGTCCCTCAGGGTTACCACCTGTGTTCACCATGCCAACTGAATGGCCAGGACTTGCACTTACAGGTGCCATATTGGACAGTGGTTAGAGAATCTTCCTCAACCCTCTGTTCCTCAAGCAAAGGTCTCTCAGGTAATACTTAATGAAGACATTCTGAGATCTCCAGAACCCTGCTTGAAGTACCTGTTCGAGAGAGGCACCAGACATCAAGGCCAACGAGTTGGTTACTCAGCACACTTCATGTGCCCTCACCTGGTGATGTTCCAAACTAGGAGCAGGGCGGACTTGCTTGCCCTGCTGTTAGCAGACAAACATACCCTTCTCGCTGCCTCAAGACACCTTGGTACGATCGAAGTACCAGCTCAGAGCTTGAACAGGACATAGAATCCGTTCCTGATGGTCCTCTGTGCTAACTATGTTAGTGAGGTTTGGGATGGCGATCGGTCCAGCAACATTGGGACCTTCACAGGCAAATTGGGCACCACCAGTGTCAGAAGACAGGTGGGCTTGAGTCACAGATTCTCTAATACTTGTTGCACCAGTTGGAAGGATGGAAAGGCATAAGCGTCCATGTGACTCCAAAAGATTGATAGATCCTCGTCTCTGGGAGAAGTGACATGTACATCAGGAGATTGGCATTCTGGGGCTCATCTCAGAGACGAAAAAGGTGATCTGCCACCCACTGGGGGATCTGCCACTCAGTGTTCTGAAACCGAATACGTTTCAAGAGGGTATCTGCAAAGCTGTGGTGTATCCCCAGAAGGTGGTGAGCCGTTAGCTCCACTTGGTTCTCCAGGCACTAAAGGAGGATCTCCTCAGCTAGCTTTGACAACATGGGGGACTCTGTGGTGGTGTGTGATCTCCTTAAAAAGTTTCAGAGACAGAAGGATGGTCTGAAACTCCAGCCAAATGATGTGGCGGCCTGCATACGTGGTCTGCCACGTCCCTTGGACTTGAAAGTCCATCAGATGGCTGCACCATCCTTGGAGCGACGCATCTGTAAGGAGAAGTCAGTGAGGGAGCTGTCAGATTTAGGGGCAGTCTCCTTTCCAAGTTTCGGGTGTCCTTCCACAAAGGGCCGCCAAAGCTTGGTCCGACAATTAAACCCTGAATGTCAGGTTCCGCATGTGGGTCTTGTGGTCCAGTAAGCACCTCTGAATCAGACGAGACCGAAGAGCTGCTGACGAAACTAGATAATGAACTGAAGTCATTTTTCCAATAAGGCGCATCAGTTCGCCCATAGAAGGCGATCCCGTCGACATGAGTTGGTTTGCGAGCTCCACAAGATGTCACACTGCGCCTGAAAGGGGCGGACAAGCCCTTGCTCTGTGTCAAACTGCATACCCAGAAACTAGGTTGCGGTACTGTATAGGGTTGGACTTAGGAATATTATTAAAAAACCCAACTCATGGAGGATCGTTTGCGTTAATTGCACATGCTCCGCTAACACCTCCCTGTCTCAGTTGTGTAATAACCAGTTGTTGAGGTATGGGTTCAGATAAACCGACGACCGGTAGAGCAGCTGAGTCTTAGCACCCTGGTCGAGATGTACAGCGCTGTGCACAAACCAAAAGGGAGGGCGGTAAACTCGTAAACTTCGTCCTCTAAGGGGAATCTGAGATAGTGGCTGCATGAGTGGTGAATGGCGATGTGGAAATATGCATCAATCAAAGCCAGCGACACCAGCAAATCGCCTGAGTGCACTGACAGAAGTGCCAAAGCCGGTGTTTCCAGCCAACTAAGGTCAATAACTGGATGCCACCCCTCAAACTATTGGGAACAAGGAAGATGTGAGAATAGAACCATGGATCTAAATGAGGGGATTCTCCACTAGGTGTATCGTCCATGTATACTCCATAAGGCTGGCTACTTCCTGCCGTACCATTTCTGCCTTGACCTCGTCCCTCAGCAGAAGACCAGAGGAAGGATGAGGAGTCAGAGGAGACCGGAGAGGAATTTGATACACCCCGAGACACTACTACAAGTGTCCATGGGTCGGAAACTCTCCTGCCGAGAACTCCAGAGGGGGACCCAGAGTCGCACCACCATCCATGGCCAGGCAGCAGATGAAGCCTTCAAAGAGACTTCACTGCTCCCTGGCCCCAAAAGCACTTAGATCCTAGTGGGGGACTTATTGCCTGAACCACCCTGTGGTTTGGTTTGAACTGCTGGCCAGAAGGGCTAGCCACCTTGGCCAACAAGGATGATTACTTTTAGTGGTCCTATTGATACGTTGGTCCTCAGCAACCACCAAACCGCTCTAACACCAAGAAAAAACAATTCTGCAAAGGAGGGTTTAAGTTCTGCCTGCAGTGCCTGATGCACTTGCAGGCTCTTGTGATGGTCAAATGACCACGCAACATGGCCTTCCCGATCCACGCACCCACCCACCTTAACAAAGGCATGAGTACCGAAATTGGGGCGAAGAACCAGTAGAAAAGGCTGTCGCACTGCATGAGTATCCCAAACCAGGGACCTGTCGACAGTTTTTGTAGCCCCGATGGGGTACCAGCTCCCCCAACGGAAGGCATGGAACAGGACTGACCCAAATTCAGGATCAGTCTTCTTGTCCTTGTCTCCCGAAGGGTACCATCCCCCCTCCATTGCCCTCTATTCACTTTCCACAGCCTGGGCCACACAAGGTGTCCAGTGGAGTTGGCCAACAGACGTGGTCTCCACGTCGGCAGTGGGAGAGGAGAGCGCCAATGAAAAAGAGTCCAAAGGCTCCGGTTGGCTGGGTAGCCTGTGTTTGTCTCAACAAGGAAGGGACAAGAGACGACAAAGCACTCCCCCCCCCACCCTTGCCGAGGAAGTGGTAGCTGTGCCCCCCAAATGGCTGCATACCCCTCTCACAGAGTAACAAGTAGGGGCACTATGCACGGCTAGGTGAAGCAGTGGTAATAAAGCCTCCTCAATCACATCTGACCCAAATTCTGGCGAAGGGGGTACAGGGAGCACCGCCCTTTGAATGCCAAGTTAAACATCCAGGCTTTCCAAGCCATGTCATCACCATGGGAGGAGCCCCTTTCACCCTGACTAACATCGGTAGGGGAAGACAACAAGGTCTGTCCCTGTATTTGCGCAACCAACCCGGGTTGCGTAAGTGTCGATGAAGTCTTTCAGCCCGCAATGGCTGTACTGATCCTACCTTGGTACTCGGCATCGATGTCAGTGCCCCAGTAGGAACACTCTGTATTCCGGTGTCGGTACTCGTAGTGATTGGCAACTCCATTCCCCTGGCAAGAGCCGTGGAACGAGGCATGCCCACTTTGGTAATACCCAACGGTGCTTCCAAGGTAGCGACCAACGCCTGTGTCAGCTCAGAGATGAACGGCTGTGAAAATCTTTCATCAGTCGTCGATCCTGCTAAACTGACGAGGGAGTCCGACCGTGGCAACTCTAGATCTTCTTCAGTTTGCGATAGGAGGCAAGCTTCATCTCGGCCACCAAAGGGGAGAGAGAGATTTTTCACTCATTGAATCTGACACATCCCCTTTTTAGCTTACCAGTTTTGGCAAGATGAATACGACTTATGTGCCGTAGGTCTAGCAAGCACATTCTCGGTCTTTTTTAATGACTTAGGCATGATGCAATCTAAGAAAAGATTAGAAATGAGTTCGTGAAAAAATGAGCAAATTTACCCGGCCAAAACAAGAATCAAAGCGAATTCAAACTGTAATTAATCCCAACGAGTAATAAATGAAATTTATTATTTCCACGGATTTTCTGGTAGGTGATGTAGTAAACTGACTGTTTGGTGAGGGCAGATAGGGCAGTGCTAAATGTGACTGACTGTATGACTGTAACAAAACGAGAAGTGTACTGTTGAAAATCAAGCTGCGCTGAATAAAGTACAGAATGGAGCCCAAATTAAGGAACCAACCTGTGATGACCAACAATGCAACCTCATCTGAACACAAAGCAGACACCACAATTATTTAAGCATTCCAGTCTCTCATTTTTCCCCAAGTGCATGAAAGAACAAAGTTCTTGATCATTTGATCAACCCCCCACCCCAACATATCCAGAGATGACAAACACATAATCTAAACAAGCCTAAAGGTAAAAAAAACATGTACGGATAGCCATGAATGACATGAAAATGCCATTCCATTTTTGACACGAAGACCAATCGGATTTTGGCAGAGATGTGGATCCGGTTGCCATTTTTTAGAATGACTTTTCATTAATAATTTCTTTATATATTTATAAGTACATTTGGTTTTTGTTGAATTGTCAGAAGTATCATTTCACGCATCATTAAATGTAGAGAGACCTGGTTCTGGTTGTCATATAAACCTTTGCAGTGACAAGATTGTTAACAACAACAACAACAACAACAATGATAACATGGACAGAATTCTTTCAACAATATATATTAATCCCATTTCATTACAGGCAAACCAAAATATGATTTTTCTTTCAACAAAATTAGTTTATACTAGCAAATGTTTAATTTTGAAATGTAAATAGATAATTACAATAATAATAAAAATAGTAACCTTTTAAATTTAATGTTAAAAATAATAAAAAGTAAATTTTACAAATCATGCAGAAGAAGAAATTATACTACAGTAAAGGCATTAATTATTTGTTGGGTTTTAATTTCTCTATTTTCATTAATAAGTAAAATCTGCTAAATTAAATACATGTTAACATGTAAAATAACAATGGAACTCATTGTTTCCTTGACAAATTTGTGAAATTAAAACACAGTAAATATATGCTCAAAACATCAAAATAGTGAAATTACATGTCAGTGAAAATAACAGTAACTAGTTTTAAAAGGACGGAATGGGAAAAACAACTAATGTATAAATATATAAAGGAATCATAAAAAAAAACTTGGAAAAACAGTAACCAGTTACTGGAATGTAAATAAATATTGGTGCAATGTATTACATTACAATCATGCTTTCAATTTTTTTTAATAAAGATTCATGACAATGGAAAATTATTACCGGTAATACATATTATTATTATTGCTTATTTTTTATTTATTTGTTACTTTGTTAATTCAGACCAAATAGACATGATAATCTTGATCCACATTTCTGAAAAAAAATATTGAAAAACTTTGTAATAGGTTACAAAAGTTAAGATTAAAAACTGACACATTTCATGTGCAGCATTTATTTCAATTTTGTGTAAAAATTGCATATAGCATGAACACAAAAGTATCAAATTGATGGGGACATTTTAGAGCCATAGCAACCACTGCACTTATGACCATATATGGTATTAACATGCTTCTAGCATGTAGCATGAACACAAAAGTATCAAATTGATGGGTACATTTTAGAGCCATAGCAACCACTGCACTTATGACCATATATGGTATTAACATGCTTCTAGCATGTAGCATGAACACAAAAGTATCAAATTGATGGGTACATTTTAGAGCCATAGCAACCACTGCACTTATGACCATATATGGTATTAACATGTTTCTAGCATGTAGCATGAACACAAAAGTATCAAATTGATGGGTACATTTTATAACCATAGCAACCACTGCACTTATGACCATATATGGTATTAACATGCTTCTAGCATGTAGCATGAACAGAAAAGTATCAAATTGATGGGTACATTTTAGAACCATAGCAACCACTGCATTGTTCACTATTACAGAAAAAATGACATTATTTAATATAATGAGCAAGCATTTTAAAAATTCAGTGCACAATAAATTATTTTCATTTAATATGGCAAACGATTAGAAATGTCCCATGACGTTAGTTGTTATTATGACAAAATATCCTAAGCTTTTTTTGAGACAACAGGACTTCTGCAAATGTCGTGATACATTGTTACATGAGTAAAACCTAAAATTCTGTTATGAAATTTTTTTTATACAGAGCAGTCAAAAATATTAGATTATTTACATTTATACATTTGTTGATAATATATACATAATTTCTAAAAGGGTGAAGCAGATTTGTGACATATCAATATAAAAATAGTAAAATCACATGATTAATCATAAATAATTTACAATTCAATTAATACTGATAAAGAAATTGTATTTGTATCATAGTTAAGCTGTGCTTTTCTAGCCTGCAGTCGATGTAAGTTTAAAGATGATTGATTAATTAATTAATAAGTGATTAAGAATGATTTAATCTGATTCCACTGCAGTCTGTATAGCTTTCTCTACAGCGGTTATAAAACACAGTTTATCTTCATATGAATCAGCCGAACAGATCATATTTCTTTTTGGTGTCGTCAAGGCAAATCCATGTCGTATGTCTGAAATCAGATAACAAGTCGTCAGGAATCAATAATTATCTGTTCAAGCATCAATTCTCGAACATGATTTGACTTTTTGGGGTTTTATTGAAATTAAACTTATTGTAATACAATCACAAAAATAAACTTCGTACCTACAGACAGCTGAAAACTGATTTTGCACTTGAAAAATACCTTGAAATTATTAAAAACCCCATCCACAGATCATCTATGACTAAACTGAGGATAAGTGCCCACATACTTCAGATTGAAGTTGGGCGATATCACAACATAGATGTCTTAAATAGAACATGCCCTGTCTGTGACTCCAATGAAATTGAAGATGAAGAACACTTCCTCTTCAATTGTAACCAGTACAAATTTGAAAGAGATGCTTTGTTTGAAAACGTAAACTTATCCGGTAATCTGAAAGCACTTCTCAATAACAAAAATTCTGAAACCGTCCAAGCAATTGCCAAGTTTATCAGCGACTGTTTCAATAAAAGAGAGAATTTCATGAAAAGCAATTTACCAGCTGCCTCAAAATAACACCAAAAAAATATTTATATAATAATATTTTCACAGTATTACTATTTATTTCTTTTTTATTATTATTATTACTTATGTATTTTATTGTTCCTTATAACCTTATTGTATTCTAATCTAGATCCCAGAAGGGATACGATATCAATAAAGGTTGTTATTATTACAAGCCCCCCCCCCCCCAAAAAAAACACCATGTGGTCATCACATGCATAAGTTAGAAAAATTTGCATATCACAGTTTTCACTTTATGTTTGTGACACCACAAACTTTGTATGAACCTAGGTTAAGCTCTTTCCAGCTCTTATTCAGACCAACTTGACCTACATAATGAAAATTTGTAGTACCAGTAAGTCTGAACCTCACTCTCTGGTTAACATCACATTAACACCTCCACTGAAAACAAACAACAGAACAAAGAAAGACAGACCAGGGAGATCTAGGTTTAGATTAGGGGAACCTGGTTTTTCTTACAATACAGTTTCAAGAAGGAAGATTCAAAAGAGCTTTCATTTACG